TCTTATTAGTAGCTTGTTATGTGATATTGTAGTAGTGATTTCCTTGATAAGATAAGATATACATATATACGTATGCTAACATTAAGCTTACTAGTATATCTCAACTTAAGAAATGAAGATAGTATGACAGGTTTTATTCATTATTATATTTTATTTTATTCTTATTTTATATATATATTTTATATTGTAAATGTTTTAGAACAGAATTGAAATTAATTGAAAATCAGTTTATTTAGCAACGCTACATGTATGGAATATCTATGAATTTATGATAACGAAACAAAATAGTACAAAGTCGAATAAATGGGGGATCGTAGAGTGGAAAAATTTGAGAAACCTCTCATATTAGAAAAAATAATAATAATTTACTTACCAACATGTTGAACACCCATTTCAGTAACTTTTAAATGACCTCCCTTAATCATTGCTTCATAATTAGGTTTAATTAACATAAGATCTGGGTTTGCAAGCCCAAATAATGGGCCTTCTGTACTACTTTCATCCACGGTAAATAATGTGCCAACATCTTTCATTAATGCTCTGTGTATCTACAGTTACAAATGTATAAAATGATAAATTTAATTTTGAATACCTTCTATATATATAAATGGAATATACAAAAGCAATATGAAAAAAAGTGATAACATTTTTAACGCATTAAGAGCCAAGCTTCTTCTGTTCAGCTTTCTCTGTAAAGTTTATTGTCGGTCACTAATGTTAAATAATATTTGTGAAATTGTAAAGTACTGTAAAAGTTTAACTTTGAGTTGAAATGTTTTAGCATTAACTTACTGTAACATGCCAAGAATTTGTGACTCTACGAGGCATTGTTGTCATACTTTCCCAATGACATTCGATGAAAGGTATTATATCTTTTTCCTTATGAAACAATGTTCTCTGTTCGCTTTCTTTTTGACAAATTTGTAATAAGTTAGCTATAGCTGTTACGCACATCTGAGGAAATGCTGAAAACAACATTAACCGTTAATATAATTTAAAAAATCAATTTATATAGACATACTTACGAGCTTGATTTTTTTTAAAACTTTCTAATCCGGTAGGTGAACAATTTTTACACATAAAAACATAATTCATCATGAAAGGAACTAATTTGCCTAACTGATATCCAATACAAGATTCGTGAAACCACCTCGAACAACTGGCGCATAATAATTCTGCAATGTTTAGATTTCTTTCTTTTCCACTATAAAAAAAAAGAGAAATGTTTTAATATACACATATGCAAATGCTGCGTCATAATTTCCTTTTATAATACAAGTTGCATTTAGATTACCAATAACAATTTCCAGATTCGTTATTATTACTCCGATTATTAATTTTGTCATTTGGTTCTGCTGGCTTTTGCAGTTTCTGTCTATTCTTGTCGTCTGGTTTAACTTTCATTTTATCGTCTACACTAATGGCTTGCACATTATCCATCTTATCGCTGCAAAAAAAAATAATTTCATTAATTAAACAATAAATATATATATATATTTATATATTTACATTTAAAAAATAATAACAATAAATATCATTATGGCGGGAAAAAAAAAGATAATTGATATTTAAGATTTTAACCTATAATGATGAAAATAGAAACAAAAGTAATTTTTAACTTAGAAAATGAAAAGAAAAAAAAATATAAATTAATAATTAAATAAAATTACCTTTCTACTTTTTCTTCTGCCATTGTTTTTGCAATTATACTTTATCTTATTTTTATTTATTTTTAATATGCAATGAAATAAACTTGATCAATGAGAATAACTTTTATTGATTAAAAATAACAAAGTTTTATTTTCAAAATAATTTTCTAAAATATTATTACGCAGATATATATGCATAAAACATTTATTATCAAAAATATGATATATTTATAATAACGCTAAATATTTTCATAATTGCAAAATATTTTTTATCATATGTTTACAATGCGTCTGCGCATTGTTAAAGCTATTCACATTAATTTGCATCCGATGCATGTGCGACTGCAGCGACAAGCGTGGACAAAATATAAATTACAAATGCAGCAGGAGTTGCATCGATAAAGAAACATCAGTGATCGTCGCGCTACCTGATGATAGATTTCGAAAATATTTTTTAATGTTTAGATTTCTTTCTTTTCCACTATAAAAAAAAAGATTTTGAAAAATGTTTTGTCAATATTAACCTCAAATGTAAATAGTTTTATATTCTTACCTTTAAAGTTTGGATGCTGAGTTGTGTAAGTTAAAAGATTAGAAATGTACATTTTGTATATTGAATTAATTAACTAATAATTGATTACATTCTATAGAAATACTTATCTTCTTTTGAAGAAACATTCGATGGAGTTTTAAATGTGTTTATTAATAAAGAAACAATACTTTTTCTAATCTATAAACTTACATAAATTATATTAATAATAAACAGTGTTTTCTACATTCGTAAAAGATAATATATATATATATATATATATATATATGTGAAATCAGTTAAATTTGTGTCAGTTTTTAATTTACATGAACAATTTATTAAATAAGATTATATCTTATGGCCTTCCTAAAATCACATAAGCATATAGTTGCACAGTTGTTATATATTAGTTATAAAAGTTATATATTATAGTATTTATACATCGTAATTAATAAATTGTAAAATATTTCATTAAATAGAATTGATCTCAGTTCTTTTATTGTACATATGTTCAATCGACGTTGTTAACTTTTAAAACAAAGTTTAGTTAGACGTAATGCAATTTGCTATTATAGAATTGTATAATAAGAAAAGAGCGCAATGATAAGCATTAATTTTATAATTTCATTAATTAAACAAATGGAAAGGATTAAACCTTTGACAATGTTATTGACACATACAAAATCTTGCTTATATGCAAATTATTCACGATTGTTCTCAAACAGTAATAACATTGTCACAGTAAATAATATTGATAATGATAAAATAAAAAGAAATGAATTGGAAACAATAGCAATTAAGAAAGGAAAAGCAAAGATATTAAGTGATTTTAAAGAGCATACAATTATAGAAGATATTGTAAGAGTTATTAATCCCGAACTAGGTGAAATTTGTCCCAAAAAATATATGAAAATAATAACCGGTAAAGGGAATATTTTCTATTTGATGGAAAAAAATACAGCTACGAAATTTGTCCAATTGATAATCAATGATCTTTCCAAAGATATGAGCTTCGTAGCGGAATGTAATCCTGGGATAGGTATATTAACGGAAGAATTGTTAAATGCTGGTATTAAAAAGATATACGCTTTTGAAACAAACCATTGTTTTTATCCTAAGTTAAATGAATTACAAACGAAATATCCTAATAGGCTCGTTATAAGAAACGCGAATTTATTTGAGATGAGCAAACTACATTTCATGGATCAACAGGATAACATGAATAGAATAAAAACAATATTAAATGATATCCCTGATGTACCTTGGGAAAATGAATCAACATACATGCAAGTTATTGGAGTATGTACTAATATCAAATTCTTTAAGCATTTACTATTGGCTCTTGTGTTTCGTAACAGTTGTATGAAATTTGGAAGACCATCTTTTTATACGGCGATAACACCATCTCTTTGGAATGTAATTATATTTCAAATTATCGGACTACTGGATATTAATCTATGTTCCTATAATAATTGATATTTTTTGTTGTATTTTTTAGGCTCTAAGTTCCCCTAGCAATAAAGCCATGATGCATTACCTTTATATTTCCTTTCAAACATTATTTAATTGTAAATATTTAGGTGATATAGAAAGAATGTCGTATATACCTTGGAAAAAACAGTCACTAAGGTTTAAAAACAAAATCCATGATCATGAGATCTTAAAAGTTGTTAAAATAGAACCAAAAGCAGAACTTTTCAATAATTATTTAAAATTAGAAGAAATAATACCTTATTGGTATTTTGTTAAATATCATTATACAGAACGAGATCAAAGAATAATACCCGAATTGGAGTAAGTGTAATAAATATAAATAAAATTAATTTAATCCCTTTGACTTTGATTTAACGTAATGAGCTTTTTGGTGCTATTTATCGTGTTTCTTAGATTTGAACCGTAAAGTGTATCAGTTTTATACATTGTTATAGTACAAAGGATTATAAATTATTTTATTTGTTTCTAGGATGATATAATTACTATGTATAATTAATGTCATATTTCAGAAAATGGGTACCAGGATCTGGACTGAAATTAATACAAATGGACTACAATATATTTACTCGTTTTATAGATTTAACACCTATCGAATGTTTAAATCTTTATAAAGAATTTGTATCCTGGCCGGAATTTGAAAGTTCTATGTTTCTATCAAGTGCGCATAGTTACGTACAAATTTTTAATCAAATCAATATATCTACCACCAAAGTCAATAAAATATAATTGACAAATAAACAATTAATAAAACATTCATTTTAAATAAATTATTATTATTCTAGATCTTCATTTTGTAAAATTTTGCAGTAAATAACTGGAAATACTCTATATATAATATTTTTCATCTTTAGAGTTACAGCATAAAGTTTTAACTTATAAAAATATAAATTTTGTTAAAAATTATTCATTTTATTGATTTAATTAACTTTCAAGATTAACATAATAAATAGATAAATTAGATTTGTATTTCGATAGAGCCACATAACTTATATATACATACACGTAAATTATATTAAATATTTTTATTTATAAATTAATATTAAAACGCTTCCTTTTTTTAATTATAAAAAACAATATGAAGTAAAAATAAAATTAACATAGTTTCTTTGAGCATCAATATACAAGTCTGATATATATTAATTGTTACATATTTTAAACATAATTAACATGTTCACTGAAGCCCAGGATTTATTTTTTACATTAATTACTGTCACAAATGTTAGGATGCTAGGTTTTTTATGGAAATTGATGTCATAACAAATTACAGATATATGACACTGGCAGTGAACATGTTAATAATACTAATAAAAAATAAATGAATTAATATTAAATATTTAAAATATTAAAATGAATAGTTTGCTATAGTAAATAATCTTCATTAAAATAGAGTATTGCATACGTTCTTATCGATCATAGTTTTATACATACATAAACATATACATTAACAATTTTTTTCAGCTATACTAAATGAAGGAAGCCATATGGACTAAAGAATTTCTACACAAAATATTCTATTAATAACTTAATAAATTCTTCATCATTTCAAGTCAGATTAACTCGATTCTTGTTGTTGACTATTACCAGTAGCTTCAATCAATTTTTGTCTTTCTCTATACATAGATACCTTCATATTTTCTATCTGATGATAACGCAATAGTTTTAACACAGCGAAAACAGATAAACCGACCCAAATGGACAAACTACTCCAGGTACCAAATTGTGCAGCACCCAATTCAATATGAAAACCAGAAGTATTGATACCATCTGCTTTATCGATATCATTACCAGCTGCTAATTCGCAGGAAGGAAATCGTTTAGTCATACATTGACACCAGGTCATAAAACCTAATGTTACAATGATTGCAGCAATCAATGTTATTATTGTTAGAAATATACAACTGACTACGTCAACGAACGCTGATAGGAATGAACTATCTTCACCACGATACATGAAAACGGAAAGTCTGTAAATCTGAAATGCTGCAGTTAAAAGTAATACGAGTCCAACGAATATGGTATAATTGCATGATATTTGCGAAGCCCAATTAACTACGAACTGTCCATCTGTTTCTTGCCAAGTTCCAGTCGAAAATAATAGACAGTGTCCTCTGAAAATTCATATCAAAAGTTATCAAATCAATTCTTCTCATCGTAACAATAAATAATAATTATTGTAAGAGTAATTACTGAAATTCATCTTGGTGTAAGCTCATAGGTACAATAATACAAAGAGATAAAATAAGTGCAACAACATAACCAGCTATTTGACTGAGAAGTAGAATATTAGTAAGAGCCATAATAATAATGCGAAACAATGATTTGACAATTGGATGTTTTTTATTGTTGTTGGTTTTTTCCACTGGATATTATTACCAAGTGGTTGAATTTTTAATTCCAATATATTATTATGGAAATAAAATCATTGACTTTCCATAAATGAAAGTCAATGATTGTCACTGAATATTTTTACTTAAAGCATCGATGGGCGTATTTAGAAAATGCGTTTGACTTTAAATGCATGTGAATACTAAGACGTAAGGGCTACCAACCTCATAACATAAAAATTTTTAAATACACGTTTAAAGCAATAATATTTGTAGTAGACAAAGATAAAAAATAATGTTAATTAAAATAATATGGTATAATAATTGTGTATTAAGAAGAAAAATAATTGAAGAAAGTTTTGTTTATAATGAAATTTCATTAGAATTATTTAAGTCTTTTAATACGAATTCAAATTATCATTTTCTTTAAATATTAAACGCGCGAAACTATTCTTTGTAATATATAATACACACATTGATTAAATCTTTTAATTTACATATTACATTAGTAATATTTACTCATAAACGTCATTGAGATTACAAAAATGTATTATCAAACACTATCAGTTTATTGATTTTAACGAAAAAAATAAAAGAAAGAAATAAACGAAAAGAATAGTCAAAGAATATATTAAATAGGAAAAATTAGACAGAATTTTCTTTCATTTTCTTTTTCATATCTTTCTTTACATTCTTTTATACAATATTATTTAGATATACAAAAATGATAATAATTAACATAAAATAATTTATATCTCTCTCGCATAAACATATATACATATTATGACATACATGTATATAATTATTATTTGATTAGAAAAAAAAAAAAAAGAAAGAAAAATTTGTAGGTTAAATTATAAAGATAACAAAGAATTGTAAATTTTAATAAGTTGGTAGCAATTAAATAGGAAAATTCATATTACAAAACTGTATATCCAAACGCATACATGCGTGCATCTTTTACATAAATATATATGCATAATTATTTGTTTAATAAAAATAAAAAAATTTATAGGTTAGGTCAAAGAGATGTAAAAAAAAATGAAAGAATAGTATATTTTTATGAGTTGGTAACGATTAAGTAGCAAACTATTACTAATGAATAAAATGTAAAAGAAAGAGATAGAGAGAGAGTGTGTAACGGAAAGAGAGGGTCGGTGGAGTGGAATAGACGAAGGGGGAAAAGAAAGAGGGGGAATGGTTTGGGGAGGAAGGGATGTATAATACAGTCGACACAGGGCATGCTGTAAAGTCAGCTGATTTCAATCGATGAAGAAGTGTGTAATGTTTTGGGCTGCCATTGAGTGGATAATGTGTACGTGAATTCTTATGAACAAATATATATATATATATATATAGACATGTGTATATATAACACGCGTGTACGTGCTATGTAAGTGTGTATGTGTGTGTGTGTGTATTAAACTCGTGAAGGAAGAACAAAACATTGGGCCGAAGTTGTGTAGTTTTAAAGGGGGAAAAAGAGAAGAAGAAAAAAAGAAAAGAAACAAACACTAACTATTGTCTTTCGATTTTTTGCGCGTGTAATTTAACGCGATCGATTATGTCGCGAATTAGTTTAGTTAATTACAACACGTGTCGAGGATGTGATTTATTTTTGGGGTTAATTTCTTTGTCGATTACCATGCCAGCTGATGAATTATAATAATAATAAAGAAGAGGAAAAATCTTTGCACGCAACACACGCACGCACGCACGCACGAGCGCGCGCGCGCGCGCGCATTTATACATGCAGAGATTTATTTAATTTTTTTTTACCCCCCCCCCCCTGTATTTTTATTTAAAATAATATCAAACACATGATTTTATTAAAGTAAAACGATTTTTTCATCTCCCTCTTTCTTTCTTTCTTTCTTTCTCTCTCTCTCTCTCTCTCGTTGTAGGAAATTTTATTAGATAATTAACAAACAAACAATGTCTTGGCTTTGGTCGGAGGGAATAAAGAAAAGGATCTGCAGGTATTTACTGCAAAGATATCTCGGACAATTTTTTGAAGAAAAGTTGACGTTAGATCAACTTACTGTGGACCTTTACAATGGGACTGGTAGAGTTACCAATGTTACCCTTGACGTTCAGGTAAATCATATTTTTCTTTCTTTGTTTCCATTTTCTTATCAGTGTTTTCATTTCATTTCATCGTAACATTATTTTTCACTCACAGATGCATTTTATTTTCTACAATGCAAATATTATATTCCATGTTATTCTTATTTTTATTTTCATCTTCTTTGTTTCCATTTTCTTATCAGTAATATTTTCATTTAATTTCATCATAACACAACTCGGACGTACATTCTTTTCTTCGATTCAGAATTATACTGCAATTAGACATTTATTAATTAAATATATGTACACACACAATCAATTTGTTCATTTGCATCGCTTCCATTATTCTTTTTTTTTTTCTTTTTTCTTTAGAAGAATTTTATGAGTAATTTTATTAAGATAAAGTTTACAATGTAAGTATAAGAGATAAGTTTATTTACATTTGTTGTACACGTAAGCGAATGTTTACTTATTAATTTTATTTTGTAGGCTCTTAACGAATTGGTCGAACAACAAAATCTTCCATTGGAATTTGTGGATGGTTTCATTTCGGAAATGTCCATTAGCATACCATGGTCAGCATTACTCAGCGAAGCGAGTTATGCAGAAGTAACAGGTCTCAGGTTGACCGTACAACCGAGACAAAGAACTGAAAATGGAACTTCCATGTTTGAATCCGTGTGGAGTTCGATGACGTCCAGTATGCAACTTGCACAAGAATGTTTGCAACAAGATGCCAATAATGCTGGAAATACGCAACCTTTGGAAGGTGTAGAATTGTTCGCTCAAGCAATTGATTCCGGTAAAGATTTTTAATAATAGTTAACAATTGAAATAAAAAAAAATCAATTTTACATTGTTCTATATGTGGGGATATAAATTTATTTATCAATTTATTTGTTCTTCAGTTCTGTGTAGGGCAAAAGTCAGATTCGTAGATACAGTTATAAGATTGGAACACGTACCTTTGGATTCAACGATGGGTGTAGCTCTAGAAATGTGTATACAGTACCTTGAATATACTGATGAAGCTGGGTTGGATCCTAGTCATAGTTCCATTGATCAAAGTCAGTCCGGAAAAGGCTACGTGGTATCAGCCTTCTCAACCAAACGATTTTACTTGGAAGGTGTAACTCTTCATACTGATGAATTCCCATCTCGATCGAGAACCATTTCCAGAAGCATCATGACCACCAGCAGATGCTCTACGCCTGACTCAAAAGTACTTTCATTATTATTTATTTTCTTTTAATTTATTTATTTTTTTCACTTCTACGATAATTCATTTATTTTCTTTTTAGATTTCGGATGGCCAATTTTTTTCCGCACAAATATCACCGACTCAAAGTATGCAAAATTATCCTGATAGAAGTTTAATTAACAATTTAAGCGAATCGTATCCCATATTGTTCGCCAAATTTGCTGGTCGTCAAGAATTCAGATTAAAAATGAAACAAGGCGAAGGTGTATCGGGACCAAAGGTAAATTAGTAAATAATTTTGTTTGGGAACTTTATGTTTCTTGATATTAATATAAAAATTTATATTATTTTAGGTAGAGTTGGAAATAACGTTGGGATCTTTCACTTCTTACCTGAGTCCTCGACAAGTACACGTTATTTTGGAATTAGCTCATGGCCTTGCATCCCCTGATTTGGAAGACGTAAGCAACGTTGCACCAAGGACTTGTACAGAAAAACCAATGGCTGGTAGCGATTTTAATAGAGTCGAACGTGAATTAATACATCAAATACATCCAATACAAGGAATCAAATCAATGGTAATTGAATATTAATTTTGTTAGCAATCATAGATCAGAAAAGTTGCGTAATACTTGATTGATTTATTGATTATATTTTTAATTAAGGATCTGAGACTTACGCAAGGATGGTCGACGGCATCTTTAGAAGAATCAACCGACGAAGAAGAATTTTTACCAATGCGTCTGCCTAGTTCCTCACCTATGAACGATTCAATACTGAGCAATAATTTAAGCATGGATGATAGTATAATAGCAAGTAGTATTAGTTCGAGAAGTTCTAATACAAATTTGCCAAAACACAGTAAACACAGGCATAGTTTGGATTCTGATTCATCTGCTGAAACATCACAGTTTCACATCAGAGTATCATCTATTGCTGTAGTTTTATTACACGAAGATATGTTGACAACGAACGTAGAAGGCCTCGGTTTGACTAGCAGTAGTATAAAACAAATGAAAAATTCGGCTGAGGAATTTTTCAAACACTTAGGAATGTTTGCACCCAGTGGTTACGGAAATAAAGATTTTGACAAAGCGTCTAAATTACTTTTAGATGCTTGCCGTCTTAGCCATATTAGGTATAAATGTTAATACTAAATACATTCTTATTAATTATAAGAACGTATCTAAAGATTTATGTTTATTATATTTATAGATTACTCGCAGCACCATTGGTCATCGAAGGAAATGAAAAAACTACTGCGCAATATTCTGTAATATCAGGGAATTTAACGTTAGCCAGTTTAGAAATTGTTGAATGTTTAGTTAATTCAAGTTCTTGCAATTCGAATGGAACATTGAATACAGAATTCGTCGAATTGTTAGGATTTCAAAAAGAAGCCTCCAATAATTATGGTTTCTCAGATAAAACTGATTTTAGAATGAGATTTCAGTATAGAGAGAAAGCCGTTCGACATGCTTCATTGATCAAATATGCACACCCACGCACAGAGATCAAGTAAGTTAATATTTAAATGAAATAATTCATATAACATTGTAAAATTTATTTAAATCTTTTTAGTATTCAACTGGAGCCTTGTAAGACTGAAATAGATATCACAATAGTGGATAGAATATCTGCTTTATTAAACCCACAACCAATTTGTACCTGTAATCAAACGATTAATAGAGATACCGTAAGTTTTGTCAGATTTTTAAATGAATTAATATAAATATCCAATGAAATTAATAACTTGTTATATTTTGTAGAACCAACAAACATTGTTTTATCAAGCAGTAGAAAGTCCAGCGCTACCAGATTCAAAAATAGATATAAACGTGTCTTCGTCGTCTTGTACAATTAAATTAAGGTGATTATACGATTAAAATCTAACGTAAGAAAATATTACGATAAATAATTTTCCGATATATATATTTTACTGTATAGATTTCCTATACCAGACTTGAGACCTCTGCACGATATGAATAGAGCACCATGGTGGAAAAGATCTGTAAGACCAGATTACATGATACTCAAACTTACAGATGCACAAATCCATTCTACTATGGAAAGTCGGACCTCCTATTCGTCTAGGCACGAACTTCAGTTTAGAAATTTCTTATTGTCGTATTTAGAATCTGAAATGGATGTACCGATAGAAATAGCAAAAGCAACATCCGATGAAAAAAATGATAGATCATATCAACAAATAAACGAAGGCTTTGGTTGGGCAAGGATAGTTGTTACGATATACCCGATTCATTCGGGTGGACAATTGGAAGATAGTTCAGAAGGAGAAGCAGATTCAAGTTTAGATGATACTTTGGAAAATGCTCCTAGACATCAACCGTCGCCATTCAGTTCTAAAAAAGTTATACACGAATCGGACACGCCTCATTCCAAACCTCACGCGCAAGATGATAAAGGAAGTCCCGAACAAAAGTTAGTATTTATATTGAAACTTATTATAATTTAGGGTGATAAATAATAATATAAATATAAATAGTAGAATTTTCTTATCGACAGAGAAGGAGAAGAATTGATTATTCCTGGTACTCGGCAAGAAATGACAGAATTTATTGAAGAAGCAGCTCGTTCTAGAGTTCAAGTCGAAATTAATTTGCCTATAATTTCTGTCCAAATACCGTCTAAACGTCTTTACGAATTATTGTATAACAGATTCAATACGGATATGTTTTTGTGGGAACCTTCGGCCCCACGTCCCAAATACAATTCACATATCGAAAGTCATATCGGTCTTGATTTAGCTTCTACTTTGTTGCAAGAATCAGCATACCCTAGGTAAATATTTCAATATATTATTTATATACATATTTTATTTTATTTTATATGAATGCATGATAAATACCCCATACCGTATATCTGTAAATATATATTATAGATTCAGCATGTGTAAAAGTGGTATACAATATGACTCTGATTCCGATTCAGACGAGGACAATATATTCCATTCTACAGCGGACAGAAGTTACAAACAACAACCTAATAATATTTCTAAGAATGGTCAAAGTAAATTTTCATTGACACTGAATATTAATCAAGGTCTTTTGACTATGTACACACCTGTACGCGATTCCACGCGCAACGTTATTCCTGGCCAACAAGGCGAATTGATACTTCGATTAGAGGATGCTACGATATTTTCTGTTACCGCTTACAAAGGAAACATTAATATGGGATACATATGTGCAATGATTAAAAACGCTTCTTTAAATCATTGCGGTTTGACTACCACTCCTTCGCAAACTCCACCGCTTAGATCTATCAATAGTGTTATTCCGAGACACTGTCAAAGGACGATTTACAAATGCGAGTTGGGTTCAAATGTAACGACTAATTCTTGTAACAAAGATATGATAACTGTGGCTGTTCGTATACAATCCGCACATCAAAATCATCGCATAAAGGTTAATAAAATGTATCTCTCTCTATTTTTTTTTTTTTTTGTTATATTTATTCGTTTTTTAATATTCTTGTATATTTTAATTTATGTGAAATATTCTTGATAGACTTTCAGAGTAGCAGTTGGCATAAGAAATGCTACATTGAGGCATAGAATGTGTTCGACGACGACCTCATGGTTTACACAGTTTACCGATTGTTTAGACGTCGCTGATCATCCAGTTGCTGGATATTCACCGCCAGGAATTCTTACAGAGTTACATTTACATCTTTGGGATTGCACCATTGATTACAGGTCTTTAATCGATTACAAATATATTTTTATATAAAATGTGTTATCGACAATAATAATATAATAAAAATTACTTTTACAGACCATTATATTTGCCGTTGAAATCTGTGGTGACCCTTGGTAATTTTAGCGTGTCGAGTAATATAGCAGCTCAAACGAGTACCTCGACACTACGATTTATAGCCGAAGATATTGGATTATTTATATCAAATAAATTAGGAAAGGATGTTGATTTGAAAAGAGATTACGTGTGCGTAATGGATTTGGGTCTTTTCGAATTGTCATTAAGATTGAACGACAAAATGTGCGGTGGTGCACCGAGAGTCGATTTAAGAGCTAGCAACAACGTTTTACACGTACGCACCTGTTCGGATTCCGGTCGTGCATTGACCCAATTGTTAACATATTTTGCCAACGATGGAGATTTAACGTCTAATACAGAAAGTACAGAAAATATAAGTCTACCTAATCCGGGAGACGAGGAAAGTTTACTCGGTAATGAGAGTATAAATACTTTGAGTAAAAGTCAAGAGGAAAGGGTTAACAGTTTAATGGAAGAAGCAATGGAAGAGACAGTTAAAGGTAAAATTATTTCAATCTTTTTTATCTTCTTTCTTTTTTTGTTTGAATATTATTCATTTATATATTATATATAATTAATTATTGTCTTAAAGGTACAACGATAAGTACAGATAATGAAAAATTACTGATAAAGGAAACACAAGTAGAAGTATTTTTCTTTCCCGACGAACCACGTCCCGAGTCACATAATATTCCTGAAATATGTTCTAATTCGAAAGATTGTATTCAAACAATGTGTATAAGTGAAATAGAAGATGTGGATGAAGAATTTTGTATCTTAGGTGAAGAGGCAGGTGCCGGGATTATGCCGAGAGATGGGGTACCAGAAATACGTTGGCTTTCCGAAGAATCATTAAGGATCGTAGATAATCATTTTTCTATTCCACGCGGTAAAACCGATTTGTTGAAAGCTCCCAAACATTATCCTGCCGCTGTATTAAGATATACGCTTTGCGAAATGACATTGATTTGGCATATGTATGGAGGAAAAGATTTTGATCATTCGGATGCGATATCGAAGAAACACGTTACCATTAACGATAATACTTTACGTATGCAAGGAAGGTATTGATCAACAAATTTTGAACATTCAATTTGATCTAATCGCATCTAAGAAATCATTAATAATACGCTTCTCCATTTTTTGTTCTTCTTGTTATGCAGAAGTCGTTCTGCTGCCAGCGTAGGTTACGCAACGATTAATCCAAACGAAGTGCGTTTTGGTAGTGTACCAAATTCACCTCGTTTAAGAACCAGAGAATCGATCAATTGGAAAACATCCGGTGGTCCTAATCGTCAACACGACGTATTAATGGAATTACAATTAAACAAAGTTCGATTCAGACACGAAGTATTTCCAGAGAATACGAAGGAAGCATCGAGACAAGTTTTATTAGTCAACGAGATTGAAATTAGGGATAGATTGGCCTCTTCTCATATCAACAAGTTCTTATATCAGTATAGTAGCGAGGCCAAACCTAAACAATCTCATGCTAATATGTTTACCATGAAGGCAGCTCATTTAAGACCAGATCCTAAACTTTCTACTCAAGAATGTTGTCTGAAGCTCAGTGTACTGCCACTCCGCCTAAATATCGATCAGGATAGTTTATTATTCCTGATAGAATTTTTTAACGAATTGGGAGGTGGATCCAATCAAAATTTAGATAATTCATCGACGTGTAATAATTCTAAATCTTCTTCGGTATCTAAACAAGGAACACCTACTCATCATCCACCCGTTATGAGCATAAACGATTCGACTACGATGCCTAATGTTCAAATTTCAACGAATACGTCGCAAAGTAATACGATAGATCAAAATTTGCTTATACTTTTGGAAGATGAATTGACGATTAAGGAAAATAAAACTAAACCAAAGACGACACACGAAGTTCGCGATGATTGTCAGCCGATATATTTTAGGTAATATTTTCTTAATCATTTCAATATTATGTAATTAAATGTTTCTTTTTTCTATAAACGTAGTTTTATATCATATAAATATTATTTTGTAATATTTAGGACGGTGATATTTGCACCCGAAGTTCTCGTTAGATTGGATTATCACGGTAAACGCGTAGATCTGACTCACGGACCATTAGCTGGACTTTTGTTGGGTCTGGCGCAATTGAGTTGTTCTGAATTAAGACTGAAACGATTGGCTCATCGACACGGACTCTTGGGTTTCGATAAACTTGTAACATTTTTGTTGTCCGAGTGGTCGCAGGATATTAAAAAAAATCAATTACCAAGTTTACTCGGCGGAGTTGGTCCTATGCACTCGTTGGTACAACTGTGTACGTATACAAATAAAAAAAATGTAAAAATATTAAAACGACAGATCATAAACTTAACTTAAAAATGTCTTAACAGTTCAAGGTATTCGTGACCTCTTTTGGTTACCGATAGAACAATATCAGAAAGACGGTAGGATTGTACGAGGTTTGCAACGAGGTGCAAATAGTTTTACGACTTCTACGGCAATGGCAGCATTGGAGTTGACGTCAAGGCTAGTACATGCTTTACAGAGTACAGCTGAAACAGCGTACGACATGGTCAGTCCTGGACCAAGTGTACGGCAAATATCGAAAGGACAAAAAGGACGTAGAAAAAAATATAGTCAACCACAGGATATTCGTGAAGGCATGGCTAATGCTTATATGCTGGTTAAAGAAGTATGCAAATTTGAATTTTCTTTCGTACTCTTAAATACATTTTTAAAATAATAGAATACTCTATGAGATATATTGTCTATGGGTACTGTGATTAACGTTTAAAGAAATTTCAAATTTATGATAAAAATGATAAATTCTCATTTAATTGATTGATATTTATAAATACACAGGGACTTGGAGAAACGGCTAATCAATTGGTACGTGTTGCAAGCGAGGAACACGAACAAAAAGGTGTATCAGGAGCTGTGGGAGGTGTACTTAGACAGATACCACCAACAGTAGTAAAACCTATTATTCTTGCCACTGAGGCAACTAGTAACGTATTGGGTGGCATGCGTTCGCAATTGGTTCCGGATGCTAGAAGAGAAGCAGCTCAAAAGTGGCGGCAAGATACTCACGATGCCAATTAACAATTTTATCCACGAATTTAATCGCTAATAAACTTTGTTACGCTATAACAAATCTTGCTCAAAAGAAAACAACAAAAAAATATAAAAAAAAAATTAATACAAAGAAAAATATAAGTAAAAGATATTTAAAAAAAGAAAAGAGAAAAGAATAGAAAAGAAAAAAAAGAAAGGAAAAGAAATAAAAAGTTTCTTCTACGTACTCTTGACTTATGTTAATAGATAATCGATCCATGACGATAATTCAACAAAAAAAAAAAGAAAAAAAAGAAAAAGAAAGAAATCGTAAGACTTTCATATTCATGTATGTATGTACATGTGTGTATCTGGTGCGTGTTTGTTTGCCCGTATGCACGAACGATATTATGAATGTCACATAATTCTGTCGTCGTTTTTAGCCAAGCATACCATTCAAACTATTTACTTACGAATAGAATAATTTAATCTGTCTCAAAAGGTGAGAGATTATTTTAAATGAAAAGAAAATATATATATATATACATATATATATCTGTTTGTATTACAGGATATACGGAAAGTTATCATACTAAATTGTTAATACGCGTAAAGTAGATGCAATATTCGCTAAAAAGATAGATGATATATAAAGGGTGTTCCATAACTAGCGGTGCAAGCAAACAATGGATGATTCTACGTGAAAAACTAACATAAGTCAAAAATATAGAATAACATGCAATCATTCCTGGAAATTAAAAATTATGTTTAATAAACATAAAAGTAGAAATGGTGCAAGAGATATACCGACAATGTTTGTAAACGTGTTAAAAAATATGAAATACAAAATTCGAGTTGAAATCGAATCAGGTGTATTTAACAAATCTTTAAATTTATTTTTTATTTAAAATTGTATTCTAATTTTTCAATCGAGTTATAAATGCAGAATCACTCCGTGCTTGTTTGTAAGATCGATTATAGAACATCCCGTATGCATATATATATATATATATATATATATGTATATGTATGTGTATGATATATATGTATATATATTTCAGTTTCACACTAATTTTCTTGTACCTTACAATATTATCATAATTTCCTATAATAATTATGTATAATAAATTATGATATCAAACATACGCTAATATCGTGAATAGTTGTTGCACTCAACTGCTTTCAGTGCGTATTTTTGTTCTAATATTGTGTATGTTTTATACGAATCTGTATCTAAACAATTTTATTAATAAAATGATCTATACTATTCACGGTTTGATTTCGTATAATATCATATATTAGGATCTTTTTTTTTTTAGGAAATTTTGTGTGAACATTTGAAAGCACAAAAAAGTTGGCTAGAGCCTAAACAGCAGACAAAATAAACAAGTATTCTTAATTGCATATTAATTGCATATTTAAAATCTTTAGTATTCTAGTGGCAAGCCGGCTAAGCACCATGTCGGTAATAGTAGTAATACACCTTTATCTTATCCACCGTCGGTAACGGTAGGACTCTACTTTTAAATATATCGACAGTCGATACTTACAGTTTTCTACTTCAACAACACCTACCGTCGGTAATAGTAGATTTCTAATTTATTTTACCCTACGTCGGTAATACTTTATATTGTAGTTACCGACGGTCGATATTTTGCTGCCAGTGATCAGTGCTGCCCTCAAACGATAGATTTTAATATTAATATTAATTTCAAATAGTTCGATAAGAGTTCAGTTGTGTTACTAACAAAACTTGTTTATTTAAATTTAAATATATTTTCTTATCTAATATTAAAACGAAAAATTTGAAAGAATTTAACGTCAACGAAGATAAAATTAAAGTTGTATAAATACAAAGACGATGATTTAAATGAATTATAAGACAGATTAACAGTGATATTAATTAACGCGTGTTATTTTACGAATAATTATTGTTGACCCGATAGAAATACTCTACTGGCATGTGAAAAAGAAAATGCAGCCTATAGGTGAGAATAACGAGAATTAAAGATTCATTTACGTTGAAAGTTTTCATAGTTTAATACTTTTCTGTTGTAATAATTATCAATTTCAATTATTTCATAAGTGTTATTTATTCAATATTTACAATTTCAGATGTAACCTTCAAATAATCTTAAATTACCATAAAAAAGGTATTATAAGTATTTAATTATTAGAGTATCGAAATTAGAATGATTTGTATCTATATTTATATATATATATATATTTGTATATATATACTTTTTTCTCTCATGATAATATCAAAATTTGAACAGCATGTTTACATATAAAAATATGTTAAGGGTTGTATGAAAAATTATCTCGTTTAACACAATTTTAATTTGAATTATTTTCGAGATAATTTACACAATGACTTGGCTAGAAAAAGATATATTAGATATAAATATTAAGACAATTCTGTTTTTATTTTGTCAACAAACAATTATTGTACAATAGTATTTTAACATTGTGGTAGGCTCAATACTTTTTAAACCACCATTGTATGCCACATTCAAAACTTTACTAATCACTCATTTATATTATTTTTATAATTGAATTCCTTTTTTTTCAATGAAATTATATAATATATATATTATTTTCCATATTAAACGTGAAATGAACTGGTATATAATATAAGAATGTTTTTGAAGGTTTGATGGAGTCCTTTGTTAGTTGAAAAAGGGTAAGAGGAAGATGAGAAAGAAGGAACGGGGACAGTACCAAGATGTGTTTTTATTTGTGTCATCTCTACTACAACTTACCCATCATCAACACCACCTACGTAGTTGCATTAATGTGTTGGATTGTGTTGGTATTGGTGTTGGTGTTGTGGAGTTGGAATGAAGGAACCGGCAGACCGAGTGGTTTCATTCATAAAAAAGTTCTTTATCACTTTCTATAAGCGCATGTGCTATTCCACGTTGAAGGACCAACCTACCCTGAGCTAGAGTATAACCATGTTTACACTCTGTATTATTTTACTACCACGAATCCTCGTCACACACAAACACACAGTTGCAATGTGCATGGAATTGTTGTTACCTTAAAAATAAATGCAACACCAGTTAAGTTTTCCATAACCACTTGTCGTATCCAATCTTAACTATGGGGTTGATATTGTTTCAAGGTTTAGCTTTTTAATCTGTTTTCTTGTTAGTGAGTGGAATTTGAATAATTTATTTGTCTTTACTTTAATTGTATCTTCAATTAGGTCAATTTTGATACGCTAATTTTTCTAGCAACGAATATTAACGAATTCAATTTGAATTAACCGGCAATAAATGTATATTCATTTAATTTTCTTGCAATCGTAGTTATCGATAATTGTTTTGTTATTTACTTTTAAAGTATTTGGCGTTCAGGTATTCATTGACGTTCGAAGTTCAATTGATCGATTTTTTTTTTATGGGTTGACCTTTCTACCTGCGTTGTTTTCCGCACGAATTTTTCTCTACTAACAGCCAAGCAAGCTGGTGCAATTTTATACCACTCGAACTGTTAAATCTTTCAATCACTTTTAAATCATCTCTGTTTTTATCTTTTTTTCCTTCCTGCCACTTTGGACCCTTCATCCCTTCCTACAACAAACACTTCTCTACCCTCCCACACCTTTTTCTCCCTTGTAAAATCTCGTTGTTGTTATTATTGTTTATCTTCTCGAACCCCTAGCAATTTCTCAGCAAATTATCAACTAATTATTCTTCGATTATGTTTGATATTTAAGATCGTTCTCGCGTGTTTTCGATTTTAATTGTTTTTTTTTTCTAATTAAGTACAAAAAATTAATTTATTTAATTGTATTTTATCGATCGATGATAATAAGTCAAATACTTACCATAAGAGTTTAACAAATGGTTTTTGTTGTTGTAATTTTTATATACGAAAAATAATATTTAACAAATATGCATTTTTGTATATTTTATTTATGATTATTCGTGAAATTTTCTTTTAAATAATAATCAAATTGAATATGTATATTATTTGAATTACCACGAAGGTAAATGATGATTGATTAACAGATAAAAAATATGACTTATCGATTAGTGGTGCCCTCATGCGGTAGATTTAAATATTAACGTTAATTTGAAATAATTCGACAAGTTAGCTGTCATGACGATAAGATTCGTTTACATTGGTTTCTTGTGATTAGTATCATTAAAACGATTCTAGTAAAGCGTGTCGGTAATCGCATTCGGTGAAAGAAAAAAAAAGGTGTCCCTTTTCTTGTTTCCTTTTGTAACGAAAAATATAAAATAGTGTTAACGTAAACGACAATAATAGTGGTGTGTTTTGTATTATCAAATGCAACGTATGAAAGAAAAAATAGAACAGAAATAATTATAAATCGAGAGTGAAATGTTGTTATCCGTAGAAAATTCATTGGCCATATCTGGCCTTGAATCGAAAGTATTTAACAACGACGAGGATCAAATTAATAATGGTGAAATATATTACAAATACGAGGACGAAGATTTCAACGAATTAGATGATAAATTAACAGTGATACCAATAACTAGTAATATTTTATTAAAAATACAACGTGAATTAGGTTTAATTCGATTATGTTGGCCCGAAAAAGATATCAGGGAAAACGTTTATTTATCAACTTTACCTAACAGTTATTGTAACCTAAATGATAAAGAAAAATTATTACTTTTCTATGCCGAAAATTTTCGAAGACAATTTCATTTTAAATACAAGAAAAGGAAACCTATTTTATTGGCATGTGAAAATGAATGTGGCGTACAGGTGAGAATAACGAATATTATATTATGATTATATGATTATTATTATTAAATGAAATATCAAATATATACACACATATATATATATATATGATTATATGATATAAACATGATTTTTATGATAATATAATTATAGTTTTGTTTTTATATTGTATATATAATTATTAGTTAATTTTTTATAAAGTTGAAATATTTCAAAATGTTTTTTTGAAAATATGTGCTTAAATATGTTGTCTTTCTCAAACCTCCGCCGCCATCTTTGCCGCCATTTTTAATATCAATTGGACACTTACCTTTCTTTCGAAGTGCATCTTGTTTCTTCCATAATTATTTCATTTAATTTAATATTAAAATATTGTATGAATGACAAAATTATTTAAAGTTATTTTTTTATGAAACTTTTAATCGCGTTGATACTTTTATTTTATTATAATCACGACAAAATAAAATAATTTCTTTTCTGTTATTGATCAAACTTAAACACAGACTAATCATGAATCATACCATAAAAATGGTATAATAAGTATTTCATTATTAGAGTATCGAAATAATTGAAAAATGATTTGCGTTGTTTAATAT